ATGTTAATAGAGGGCAGAACATGAAAGAAAATATCATCACAGCAACAAGATATTTTACTATGTATTTGGAGAGATCGTAACCATCTTAGCTACTATGTGTGAATCTGCACAGTAGCCCATGCCCACGTTTTGAGACGTGGTGAGTACTTCCATTTTTGCTTTTATCCTCTTTTTCTCTTTATTTGGCCCAAGTTTGCTCTCCTGTACTCATTTACCCCACACTTTTCAAATATACTTTTTGGCACCATTAAAAAAAAATCTCAAAGCTGGAAGGGATTATCAGCGAATATCTGGTCTGCCTCTTTTACCTTTTTATAGAAACTGAGGTCCAGCTAGGTGATTTTTGTCTTAATTGCAAGAAGATATCAAACCTTCAGGGCTCAAATGTCCTTATCAATTTGTCTATGAAAGGAAAGCAAGTTCTCATCGGTAGAGGTTGAATCAGTGGTCCTCCAAAAAGCTATGCCCATGTCCTAGTCCCTGGAACCTGTGAATGTGACTGTATTTTAAATAGGATCTTGGCAGATGTGATTAAATTTATGATCTCAAAATGAGATCATCCTAGATTACCCAGGTAGGTCCTAAATCTAGTGACCAGGGTCCATAGAAGAAAAGAAAAAAGGAAGATAAAAGCTAGAGTGAAGACAGAGGTTGAGGTCTGGCGGGTGGGGCTATAATCCAAGGAATTCTTGAGGCTGGAAGGCACAGGGAAAGATTCTTTCCTAAGAGATGTGGAGTGTGGTCCTGCTAAAATATTGATTTCAGACTTCTGGCCTTCAGAACAATGTAAGAATAAGTTTTTGTTGTTCTAAGCGACCAAGTTTGTGGCAATTTGTTATAGCATCCCTGGAAACTAAAAAGCTACCCAAAGAGATCAAGCAAGGTGGTAATCTGCCCTTTATTTCAGCTCATACTATAAACAAATGTCCTTTCCAGGTATAAGTAGTGTCACAGTTAAAAAAAAATTTGTGGGTGATTTTGCTGTTTAACATGACCCCCAAGTGTAGAGCGAAAGTGCTGTCTGGGGTTCCTGTACACAGGCAGACTGTGATGTGCCTTGTGGAGAAAATATTAGGTAAGTTTCACTCCTGCAGAAGTTACCATGTAGTTGGCTAGGAATACAATGTTAGTGACAACAATTTGCTATATCCAGAAAAAGGAAGACGAAATTTGTCTATTTGCGGATGAGGCCTTAAAAGTATTAAAGTAACATCTATAGTTTGTGATAAAGCTATAGAAAAGTGGCTAAATTTGTGGATTCATAAGATAGCAACTGGTTTTTAAAAAAGCACAGTAAGCAGTGTTGTTTGGAGGCCGCAGACCTTATGTGAAAAGTCAAAGAAATTTATGATCATGTTAACCAGGGTCAGAAAAATGTGAACTCAGCCAGCACTGGCTGTGCACACATCAACACTGTGTAGAAATGTTCAGTTTGGAAGTGAGGCAGGTTCTACAAATTAGGAGGCTGTGGAAGAACTTTTAAAATACTGTCCTGGTCTTATACAAGAAAAGGGTCATGTGGAAACGCTGCTTTTCAACAGTGATGTGACCGGCTTTATCAAGACATTGGCAAACAAATGTATACATAATACGAAAGACTTTCTGATTCATGACAGTGTAAGCAGAAGATCACAGGAACATAACCCTGTATTTTCTCCAGGAACAACAGTTCAGTACTTATTAACTCAGTGTTTAAAGCAAGTTTATAAAGCACAACTATCACAAACAATGGAATTAACTTTATCTTAACAAACTAAACCCATTAGAAGGGCACAGGGTCTAAGAATAACACACAGGAAAATGATTTGTTTTGAGGCTAAGGAATGGGCAGTCTTCAGAATCTTTCTCCTCTACTGAATGTACAACCCAACTAGGGAAAGGTTAGCATACATTTGGAATCTCCAAGTTACAAAAATGTTGCAGGCTTGGGAAAAGGCTAATATCGATGTGGGTCACTGAAGAGGGCGGAAACTAAGTATAAAGTACCAGCATGCCTTCCAGAGAAGGATACAACTATCACAGCAGTCATTTTGGTGTGATAAAGTGTGGGGGGGCACAAAGATTGGGAAGAAGTGCGACTGTCATGACAGTTTTTGCAAGTGGTATGTATAAAATGCAAGAAACTACATATAAATTATTAAAATGTTGGATACAAAGTCAATATACAAAATGAAAGAACACTGATTCAGAGAGGATAAAAATGTTTTCTTAGGTTCTCTGATCACAGTAAGGGGGTCTCGGAAGAGTTACTTGGGAAGGTCTCCAAAAAGAAGCCTTTGTATAGAAGTATCTGGGCTAGAAATGCAGATACATCTATTAGCATGGCTGACCAGGGGTCAGAGTTCTTTATCACAACTCCCTTCCAGGACTAGCATGAACTGGCTGAACCACAGGCCTGGTGTGGGGAGGGTGGCTTTCCTTTGTGACAGGTAAGGCCTTGGTAACCCCCTGTGGTTAGCCGGAAACATCACACAAAGAAAGGTGGCCTGGAATGTGACTCCTCAGGTAGGGTGATTTGTTCAACTGGGTTCCAAAGCATAATGTGAAGCTATGATAATGAGAAGAACATGGGGCCTGATGCAGGGCTAGCCAACTATTGTCATGGGACATGACAGCAAAACCAGAAATAGATCCATGCCTATTTGGCACTTCATGTATGGAAACTGGCACTGTAGGACGGTGGGCAAAAAGTCTCTTTTTTACAAGTGATGCAGGATCAACTGAATACACAAATAGGCAAACAATAACATATGACCGTACATATATAAGCACAGCAACAGATTATTTCAAACGGATTACAGATATACATGGGAAAGCAAATTATAATAATTTTTAAGATTATAGAGAATATCATAATTTCAAAGTGGAGAGAAAAAACTTCAAAAGATATGCAAAATAAGACATCCATAACAAATGAACAAAAGATAAGCTGATATTACAATTAAAAAGCTTTTGCTGAACAAAAGACACTTAATAGAATACCATAGATTTGGAGATAATATTTGAATTCCCTGTGAAAAGGGCACATATCCAGAATATGTAAATAACTGCTACATGGTATATGGGAACTGAATCGGAACGTCCCAAAAGAAGGCCTGCTGACCAGTATGCAAGCAGGAGGCTCGTCTGCCCTCTGCCTAAGAGGCGCTTCCTCATCTTGCACAGTTACCAGCTGCATAAACAGCACTAGCCCAGGTAAGAGTGGCACTGTCTTTGCAGTGCAGGTACACTCGGCAAGACGTAGGAATGCGAGAGCGTGCTGAGGACTGACTCGCACAGTGGCACACGGAGTCACTGTGTAAAATGTATTTCTTACCGCACAGTGCGGAAAACACTAGCACAGAGAACATGCTTCATCATGGTAGCGAACAATGTATTTCCCGGCCTGTCATGGTGACACTACTTCGTTACGTGCATTCCGTGATCAGTCATTGAAAATTTCCTTTTCTCCCCGATTGTACCGTGCTTTCCCACATGCTCTTCTCACTGTACCTTCCTTCATTCTTTTTTGTTGGGCTTAAGAACTCATCTCTTCACCACACCTCAAGCTTTCATCCTCCTCTGAAACCTTGCCAACTTCCTCATGAGTACCTATCGCACCTTCTTCAGTGCAAAATACTGTCCACATCAAGTGGCTCTGTCATTTTAAGTATTGTCTTCGATCTATTCTATTTTCTGTATTCCCCCCCAAAACGGGAAGTGCCTTGAGACTAGGCTGCTTGGTTTCATTTATTTTTGAACCTAGTACGTTGTACAAGGCTTGACCAAAAACAAATAGTCATTAATACCTTAATTTGAGCTCACAAGGAATAGCCAGGTATGTACTCTGAAGCCCTCACACTGAACTCTTCAGCGAAGGAAATTTCCCTTTCCAGAACGTCTGCTCTTTCAAAGTCTTCGGAATACTTACCACTCAGTGCTTAGTATTTAGAGTTGTGCTCTCTTGTGGTGGGAGGTAGCATTACTTCAGTGCTGAATGCAGAGGGTATTCTTCACCCAAAGTCTATCTGTAAATCCCCATCCTAGTAACCAGCCAAGATAGGAGGGGTGGAAAAGGTAAACACTAAAGAATAGAGGAATGGAGCCAGGTGTGGTGATACACTGTAATGCCAGTGCATGGAAAGCTGAAGTAGGAAGACTGCAAACTTGAGGTCAGGCTGAGCTATGTAGCGAGTTCAAGGCTAGCCTGGATTACACAGCCAGACTCTGTCACACACACACACAAATCCAGAGCACAGAAATGGGATGATGGCACATCAGAGAGAAACCACAGCCTATTCTGATTACCAAATGCAGGAAGCACAGCAAAAGAATTCACACTTTCAAAGGACGACAGCAATAGAAGCTCAGTGTTCCACTGAGGCCCTTCACTGCTGCCTGTAAGTATGTGCTTAGTTTTTTCTAACATGCCCCATGTTCTGAAGAGAATCTATCACTTTGAGATGTAGCTGGGGGTGTAGCTCAGTGATGGAGTGCTTGCTTAGCCTGTGTGAGGCCCTGGCCTTGATCCCTCGCACTGAAAACAAAAGACTTCAGTTGCAGAACCATGATGTTCTCTGCCTTCAGCCCCCATATTCAGGCCTAGCATGACTCGGGGAGGTTGGTGGCACTACTCCAACACTGAGACTTCCTAATGTGCTTTCTTACGTACATCTATAACCTCAGTATCCCATGGTCGTGGCTGGCTCCGAGCTTCATAAGGTCCAGTGTGTCTTCCAGTTGACCTGCCTGAAGTGCTGACACAGTTCTAGCATGCCAGAATGTTCCCTGACACCTGCTCAGAATGTGAACCAAAGAACCCTGCAATTTCTGTCAACTAGAATCTCACCTGAGTTAGGTTTCAAGGATCAGAAGAATTTCAAGTTTTTTTAACCAGGAATGAAAAATCAGTTAAAATAGAAAACTAAACAAAACAAAACAAACAAACCAACAAAAGGGGCTGGGGATTTACCTCAGTGGCAAAGCGCCTGCCTGGCAAGCACAAGGTCATGAGTTTGATTCCCGGTACCGGAGAAAAATCGAAAAACCAAACAAACGAACAAAAAACTCAAGTAATTTTAAAGTCCAGATTCCTTTCTTGAGTTTCACATGTTTCATATACAGTTTGGGGATTACAGTTAGGAAATCAGGCTATGGTCTGGTAGACAGCTCTTTTGGGATTTCCACAGACAATAACAAAAATATGTTCCAAATTGAGTTCAATAACTTTCTACCTTCTCTCAAATCTGAGCTCTCCTGATTGCTATTGGACGTGATGCCTCACAGTCACTTAAGTAAATCTTGAAGCTCATCCTAAAGCTAGTGCCAGCCCCAATCAACAACTGTACCCTCCTGCCTTTCTAACTGGTTCTCATACTAAGTACTGAAATCTCCAAGGAGGGTTTCAGTCTAACTCTCCTGGCAATATGGCACACGGGTGCAAAATAAAGACAAAGAGAATATTCTGCAGTTGAGGAGCTCTGGGATGACCAATGTTCTCTGTGGAACAAAGGGTGAGTCTAAAAGCTTGGGACTTTTATTGGTATCCGTCAGGGAGGTGGATGGGGGTCACGGCAGAATGCTAAGGAAGAGAAACTTGGCAGGCATCGGCTGTAGGAAGAAATGGAGCAGTTCTGTACCAGGCAGAGGCCTCCAGTTAGCAGTACAACAGATAGCTTCATGTATGCAAGGCTGGCACCTTTACTGCAAGGAAGGTACAATTCTTTCTGAGTCCCATGGCCTCAGCTGAGATGTTCTCTCACGTCTAGGCCCTGGAATTTCACAAGTTCTTGCTCGAGCCATTTCAGCCATCAGCAGGGGGGCAATTCTCGCCCTCTTGCTGCAGTGAGACATGCTGGCATCTCAGCCAGACTCTGATCACATTCTTTTAGCCAGTTAAGGTAACATCTGCTTCAGTATAGCCAGCTCTGCATATCTCGGTGAATAGGCTTGAAGTAACGGTCAGGGAAAGATCAAGGCAAGGGGCTTTGTTTCTCAGGAGAGCACAGCTTGGTGGTCTCCCACACTAAGCTTCACACCTCTAAGCCTTTGCATATGTCACACCACACCCAGAAATACACTCAAGGAAAGTGTCAGATGGCAGATGCACTAGAAGCTCCTTGGGAGGTCGTTTTTGTTTTGGTTCAAGAATTTCAGGCAAGTTCAAGGGTTTATTTGGTCAGCAAGTCAAGAGGTCTTGGACTTTTTATTAAGACAAAAACTACTATTTTTTTTTTATAGTAGAACATCTACTGGGGTTCCTACCTAGACATATTCTACCTTCTGCCAAGAGGTCCCTAATGTAGCTAATCATCCTTGGAAACACACAGGTATAGCAGAGACAAAGCCAGACCAGCAGATTGCTGCTTTCAGAATGAAGGATACATGGACACTCTCTCATTGAACACTGCTGCCACTTTGAAAACTTCATCTGTAAGGCTGGTAGCAATAAAAACAAAGGCTTGCACATCAGAAAAACAAACACACCATTTGAATTATTAGCTCTTACTAAACCAACACAAACTACATTCTAAAGTGTGATTTTGAATGGCTTTACCTGACGAGTTGTCAGGCTGCATTCTCAGAAGTTATTGTACAGCCTTAGTCATGCTGCTGATGAAGTCACTTTCTGTGACTTCTCATTTCTTCAATATTCCAAGGGATATAGTGTCAACTAAGGCATTTATGTTTTATTGTACCTTTCTTTTGACTGTAACTTCTGGTGTAAGCTGAGGCTTCTCAGTATCTTCACCACTTACATCATGGATGACACTTTCCTTTGGCATGTATCTTCTGGTGCTTAGTAAGATTAGAGCTCCCGCGGAAGGCTTTTCCACACTCATCACACTCATACGGTTTTTCTCCAGTGTGGATTCTCTGATGGTGAATAAGAGTTGAGATCTGACTGAATGCTTTGCTACACTCTCCACACTCATAGGGCTTTTCTCCAGAGTGAATCCTCTGATGGTTAACGAGGGCTGAGTTCACATAGAAGGCTTTCCCACACTCCTTACACTCATATGGCTTCTCTCCTGTGTGGATTCTCTGATGTTTGATAAGGGCTGAGCTCACACTGAAAGCTTTCCCACATTCATCACATTCATATGGTTTCTCACCAGTGTGGATTCTCTGATGCTTTCTAAGGTCTGAGCTCACACTAAATGCTTTGCCACACTCACTGCAGTCATAAGGCTTCTCTCCATTGTGGACTCTCTGATGTATAATCAGGTGTGCCCTCACAGTGAAGGCTTTCTGACACTCACTGCAAGCATAGGGCTTCTCCCCAGTGTGGATTCTTTCATGTACAGTGAGGGTTGAGCGCACACTGAAGGCTTTTCCACAGCGATCACACTCATAGGGTTTCTCTCCTGTGTGGATTCTCCGATGTCGAACAAGGCCTGAGCTTTGGGCAAACTTCTTCCCACACTCACCACATTTATACCGTCTTTCTTCTGTGTGTCTACCTTCAGGCTTTTTTAACTGGTCCTTAAACTGAGAGACCTTTTCATACTCAGGAATCTGTGAAGAATTCCCATTATATTTGCTAGAGAACTTCTGGTATGGGTTCATCCTTACAAAAATCTTTCCTTTAAAGTTGAAACCTCATTTAAAACTCTGGTCTTGATTCCTGAAATAATAAACAGATCTTTCAAATGTATTGCCTGCTACTAAATCAATATAACATGATACAGATTTAACTAGGGGCTCTCAAACATGTTCAGTAATTCTATGACACAGCAATTTTCTAGTGACCAGATCCAATATTTTCATTCAGCTTGTACCAAGACACAATTAACACTGAAGAGTTACTGTAACGAACAGCTAACTCATTTAGATATTTAAGCCTATCTTCTATAACAGTCTTAAAAAGAATCCGGAATATAATTAAATATTAAAAAAAAACCCGTAAGAGCTGGCTATGTATGTCATTGGTAGAGCACTTGTCTAGCATGCACAAGACCCTTGGTTTGAACCCTAGTACCAGAAGAAAAAATAGTTCCTACTTTAGAAGACTTTTTATCATATTTAGTTAAATTACAAAATCATAGATATTAAATAGATTTGCAGATATGGTAGATGAAGCAGTATGAAAATAGAAAAGGCAGAAGAACAGAAATTCAGCTCTAAAGCTTGAAAGATGACAACATCATTGGCAGGTATGTTTTACCAGCGCTTGGTGTCTACACTTCTTGAGCTAGAAGAGATGTTAAGTCAAAAATGTGTTCTTTGTAGAGCCACTACTGCAGCAGCTACTGCTGCTATGATAAACGGTACCTTAGCAACAGCAAAGCCTTCTCCTCTGCAGCTGTGACAGAGGAAATCCTTCACTGGGTACCACCAGCTCATTCCTCTAGAGTTCTGACCAGTGTGTGAACTTGGGGAACTGCTGTCATTCTCTTACCCCTAACAACAAATTCAGTTTTGTCTCTAAACTTGATAAATTTGCTACAAACTCAAATTACTACTATTGGCTCTCTCTGACCTTTTCTACCTTACAAATCTCAACAGTGATCAGTTGTCAGCTTGCACCCTTGATGTGATGAAAATGGCATTTCACCCTTCTTCTCTTCCTCCCCAAACCTCATAATTCAGTGTGATAACAAAACGTTGAAATCCCAAATGAGTGACAGTTGATGAACAAAACCTGGAAACAATGCGAGGGAGAAGAGAACGAGCATAGGAGCCAGGACACAGTGAAAATGAGGTCTCCATTTGTTCTGAAGGAATTCAGCCCTGTCAGAAATGTGGGTGGGCTACTGCTATGAGATCGGGCTCAGGAGCCTGGGCCAAGTGTGTGGGGCTGGACTGGAGCCCTCGCGGGTCCCAGGAGGCGGTTGTGCCCGTGGTGCAGGAGGGGAGGAGGACAGGAGGAAAGAGGACATGAGCCAGAAGTGACTGGAGGGGCTCTGGTGAGCAGGCGGATGGGCGCCGCACCCCATGCCCACCCGAGAAGTCAGGATGGAGTGCTCCACTGCTAGTAAGAGTGGTCCGCTGACTTCTGGAGTCCCGTAAGGGAACCTGGTGTTGGCTCTAGGATACCAGAGGCTTACGTCACTGGCTCTTGAACAGACAGAAGCACAGGCCTTGAAGGAAGGGATTTCATTTACTCAGCAGAAGGCATTTTATGGCTTTTTATTTTCACTGACCCTGCAGGGCAGACTAAAGCCCTCCTCTCATATATAAGAAAACTGAGAAGTATGTTTTCTATAGTGAGACAGCTAATGAAACAAATGAAGTGATGTGTGAACCCAGGTATGGTCTCTCTCAGTGGGGCAGGGATTAGGATTTAGGGCAGAATCTCAAAATTACTTCATAAATTTAACACCATTCCAATAAAAATATCCATTTTGTAGAAGTGGTAGATTTTAATATTCAAATAGAAAAACAATACCTGTAAAAAATGAGAAAGACAAAGGTCACCTGAAGGGGGACTTGTCCTGAAGATTTTCAACACAACCTAAATCACTGTCTCCAGTGTGGTGCTGGAGACTGGCAAACTGTACAGAATAGAAAGTCCCACAACACAAACCATCACAGGTGGAAACGACGCATAACAGAGGTAGCAAATATGAAAAATGAATAGACTCTTCAGTAAATGTATGGAGGAACTAGATGATCATCCTGTAAAACATTACATTGGATTCCTACTTCCCTCTACATACCAGGAAATATTTTAACAAATCAAAGTTGTAAATATTAAAAACCCATAAAAGTATCAGATGCAAGTTGTTAAGTGGCATCTTTTATAACCTCAGTGTAAAAAGGTCTTTCTAATGACAAACCCAAAATCAGAGGCCATAAATAAAAAGATTAATAAAATTTGACCCACATCTACACAATTAAAATTCCTGCAAAATAAAGACACCTCAAATAAAGTCAAAGACAAAAAACAGGAATATATTAACAATACATCTCAGACAATGGGCAATAAACATGGAGCTCCTGAATAACAAAAATTGTGGGAATGACAGAGCTGAGTTGGATTTTCCTGTTTCAGCCTCACTCTGAAGCAGACTACTAAGCATTCAGGGTATCCTTATCCCACTAAGTAGTAGGTTTTAAAAAAAAAGCTTGGGCTGGAGATGTACCTCAACCATACAGCACTTGCTAGAACCTGAGTTCAAACCCTAGTAGTGAAGGGGACAGAGGAGGGGGTGCTCTTTAGGTCCTTCATTTCCAGAGGACCCCAGGACACCAAAGCTTAATGTTTATAACTATCAAGTAAAGGGAAAAAAAATTTCTTTAACTGACATTTCAATGGTGTATTCCCAGGTGGCACTGGAGAGATAATTATTCTCCCTCTGGTCCCTGAGCTGGCATTTTTCTTGGCAGGCTACTTTCTATGTACAAGAGCTGGAACCCAGAAAAATATTAAACACATTAATTCATGAAGGAATCATTATAGAAATGAATAAACAGACAAGCAGAAGAGGCCATCTCAAGGAGAGGAAAAAATAATTATGGTGAATATCTGGATAGCACTTCTGTATATCAGGTATGTCTATGTAATCTTCTTACCAGCTCTGGGCAGGTGGTTTTATCATCCTCATTTATATATAAGGAAACAAAAGGAACAGTGAGTTAGCTAAAAGCACAGGTAGTCTGCTTCAGACTAAAGAGAGACACAGGAATCTTTAAGACACTGCAAGTTTTAAGGTGATTTTATAAATACGTCTTCCTTCCCACCCGCTACCTGGGTTCACCCACCTCTTCAACGTTTCCAGATTAGTTACTTCCTCAAAGACAACCCGGCACTCCCACCCTCTATTACTGCTGCTCCCACTCCCAGAACTGAAGCTCCTGAGGTGGGCTGGTCAGGAACAGGGCTCGGCCAATGTCAACGGAGTTACTGGAGCCAGCTCAGACTGTGCTAGCCCAGAGAATCTTGTTAACACGATCCTTGGGATCGGCAAAACCAGCTTCTCTAAAGTTGAAGCTACACCTTTCCTACAATTAGTGAGTCTACAATTCAGTAAGATACTCCTTTTTGAGGTCTCCTGTCCAGGTACGCTTCTGTAAAAGAAACATTACTCAAAGAAAAGACAAAGATGACTATTATAGGAGGGAGAAAAGGGCGCAAAAGCAAGTAAGGAGCTAATTTGCAAACGACTATGAGGGTATGTGGTGAGCAGGCAGGCCGTGGGGCCTCATGAGCGCTGCCTCAAGGTTGTTGGAAGATGGCCGTGGTGTGGACGGAGGTGACTGCTAAAGGGAAGAGCGACCATTTATTGACAGGCTGAAATAGGTATCTATTCTGTTTTCACAAGGAAATGTCATGAGCCCAAGAACTGGAAGCCTCTTCTAAATTTAGAAGACCTAATGTTTATTTCCAATTACTTGCAGTTTCGTCTTTTGTTGGAAAAGCTAGCTTCGGACTGGTAGGCAATAATACCAACTGTACCGGGAGCGCAGTTGTAGTTAGGACTCTATAGATGGCAGGCACGGGTCCAGTCCCGAGAGGAGGCAAAACCATCAGGTCCTGGACACCAAGCCCTTCAGTAAGTCTGCGGATTTCACTCCTTCCGCTTCTGCAGCTGAGAGCCGGTAACTCCCAGAACGCCCCGCGCTGCGGAAGTCTCCTTGGAGGCGAGCCCAGGGGCCGGAAGTGGGCGTGGCTTAACTTCTCGCTGGACAGCGGAGGCACGGATTTCCTTGCCTTCGCTACGGCGCCTGCGGGCAGCCACCCCCAAAACCCTTTTCTTACTTCACTTTTCACAGAAGTGGTTTTGCTTCTTGAGTTTCAGCCAAGGTAGGGTACCCCGTAAATCTTGGAATTTAAAGACGCAGCTGGGCAGCATCTCCAGCGCGGGCTCTTCCAGGATCCCAAACCAAATCGGGGCCACAGGATCACTGGTTCTCATGCTTAGTGACTGGAAAGTCAGGGCTGTATATTGTGTATGCTTTTTCTAAGATTAGATTCCAAACACGAGTGCAAGGCTTTCAAACGTGGCTGCATTAGTGCACAATCTCTCAGGCTATTTATGAAAGAATTGAAATTCAAGATACCACAGCATGCTGGTTTGGACATACAAGTTGGTAACAACGGTAATTTTTAAAAAGATATTTAGGTGGAGCTACCAAGTATCATCCCATGGCAAAGCATGTATTAAGAGCATAAGGAATCAGATGTGGGGCCTAACTGTTCAAAAATGAAATCTGAAAGGCCTCAAGAAACCTGGATTCTACTTCCACATGTAGCACAACATAGGTGATCCCGTGTAAGTGGCCCGCCCGCCGTCCATTTTCAGAATGGGTTGGAACGCCAAATGATAGCCAAACCTAGCATTTTGTAGGCTGAAATCTTTAAAGGCAATGGAGCAATGCAGTTATTTCTTTGGTGCACCACACATTTAAATTCGTTCCCTAACTCAGGAGTCCAATTTTTCTAAACCTGAAGTACCAGGGAGAATAGTGTGTTTACTACTTTAGTATTAGCCTGCTTTT